ACGCCGCAACATGTTTGATATCGGCCGAGGGCCTGATTGTGAGGATGAGTGTGGATTGGGGCTTACATACTTTATTATTATAGCACGTGAGTTGTCCGTGCAGATTATAGCGCTTGGGAGGAAGGAGCCCCTCCAGAGTCTGTATACACCTCCATTGAGCGCAGGTACTTACTGAGTGCGAGTGCCGAGTGCTGAGTGACTGGGACGCATTAGTGATTGTGAGGTATGCCCGAGTTGCAAGAGTGATTGTGAGGTATGTCCGAGTGGCATGAGTGACTGTGAGGTTTGCCCGAGGGGCTGTATATGAGTGATGTTCTGCCCGAGGGGCTGTTTATGATTTTATCATTGAGTTAAATCGCATTGGCATGCACATATGACATACATGCATAGAGATGTATTTCCTCGTGTTGTACTGCATCACATCATTCATGATTTTTCACACATTTGTGACAGATGGGCATAGTGATGCATTTGTTTTTACACGGGTTATCCAGAAGGAAAATGAAATATCTTATTTATTATTGACAAGATTTTGGGAGAAATTTATTGTTTTCAAACTATTCATATTTTTGGAAACTCCGGCAAACGATTTGGGTTTTCACTGATGTATTTGAAAGGAAGAACTATTATTTTTGAAATCATGATTTAGCTGAGCATTTTATCTCTGAGTTACTTCTGGTATTATTTGCTTTATGTTATTATGGACTGTTGTGGACTATTGGTTATGGACCCGACCATGGTAGAAGCTCGTCACTACTTTCAACCTATGGCTAGGTTTGTTACTTACTCAGTATATGTGGTTGGTTGTACTGATACTATACTTCTACACATTGCGTGCAGATGTTGGCTGTTGTTGTTGTTGTGCTCGATGGTTGCTGGACTTGAAGATGTACCTGCTTTTCTGTTGTAGCTGCCTCTTGTTCAGGGTAGCCTTAGATTTATAAAAGCTCTGTTTATGTATTATTCAAATAGACTATGTATTTATTTCATTTTCATTTTTGTATACTCTATTCTTAGAAGCTCATGATTTGTACTACAAGTTCTTGGGGATTGTACAATATTAAGACCTTTATTCACTTAAATTGCTTTAATAATTATTATTAAAATTGAATAGTTGGTAATTGGCTTACCTAACGGGATGGGTTAGGTGTCATCACGACTAGTTGGATTTTGGATCGTGACAGTACTACTTGGATCATACAAAGTTGGGATTGGTTACCTGGGATTCTGGTTAATTTCCCAGCTCCAGGAGTCAAGATTTGCTTTCCTGCTCCCCGGAGGACATGCTTTCTTCCTTTGAAGTAGAACTCCATGGTGAGTGTTTTGAAATTCATCTTAATATCTCCTAAAGTCAACAACCATTAGACTCCCAATACCACACCACAAGATCCTAGTGGTAGCAGTAAAAACTCAGTAGAGAACTCAACCCCCTGCAATAACCAAGAGATTTTGCACACCTTATCAACTCTCATCATGTTTCCATTTGCTGCAGCCACCAATTGTGGTGTAGTGGATTTAATAGGTCACCTTAATATTTCCACTAAATCTGGATCTATGAAATTATGAGAACTACCAGTATCCACAAGTATATTTAGTATTTTTTTTGGGAATGGTAACCAGTTACCCTTAAGGTTATGTACCCCAGGGATCCATTCAAAACATGGATAGAAATCTCCATCGGCTCCCTTGGCTGACTTAATTCCTACCCTTGTTCCTCTAGTTCATCCACCACTTCCTCATCCTGTAATTTCTCCCTTTCATACTCTTCTAGTTCCATTAGGTATAATTGTTTCAGATTCTTGCACTTGTGGCCAACTACATACTTCTCATTACAGACGTAGTAGAGGCCCTTAGCTCTTTTTTCATTATTTCGTCCAAACTTAATATCCTCCTGTTATACCCCTTAGGACTTGTAGAGTTACTATAGCTTTGAGTTAGTAACAAAGGTCTACTGTTGTTCGTTTGGTCTGCATTTCTTCTGGAGGAGTTTGTTAGTGAAATTTTCCTAAGTGAACGTTGTCTGGTAGCAGCAAGATAATCTTCTTGCATTCTGGCAGTCTTATAGACTTGTGACAAAGTGGTAGGGTGTGTTATTTTCACTGCAATATGCAATTCATGTTTCAAACCACAAAGAAAACAACTGATGGCATTTTCTTCAGATAGATTGACCCTAATGAGATGCCTTTCAAACACAATTTGATACTCTTTGACACTACCTGTCTGTCTAACCTTCTTGAGCTCTTCTATAGGATCATTGAAATTCACTCCAAACCTTTCCACCAAGGTCATATTCAGTCCATGTAGCAGGTTGGAGGTATTGTTTGTACCTCATGTATGCTAAATGCCACTAAATGGCATCTCTTTCCAACAACATTGCAACCACTTCCACTTTTTCTTCAGCTGCAACCTTCTCCATGGAGAAAAATTGCTTAATTTTTAACAATCAAGACTTTAAATCATCACGTGAAAATCTCAAAAATTCCATTTGCAATGATCTGTTAAGTTTGAAATATGATGATTGCAACTGTCAGGGCTCTTTTCCCTCTGAGGTCTTCCTTCAAACCGTTCATCCTCCTGTTGCATTGGAATCTTATCCCTTTCATGTTCTTCTTAAGTTGTAATTTGCTCATGTAAATCGTGCACCTTCTGATCTAACCTTTTGAGATTAGACACTTCCCTAGCAAGAACGCCAATATCAGAGATTAACTTCTCCATTAATTCACGTAATTCTCCTACTTATGTCGAAGAACTCTCATTTGATCTTGTTCCCTTCGTCATTTTTGCCAAGGAAACGACTACTCTGATACCACTGATATCCTAATTGCAGGAATCCAGTAATGAATTCGAGTATTTAGCTGCTGGATCAGGAGTTTTGCGGAAAAACTCGAGAATTTCAGCTATGAGATGAAGACATTGTAATTGAGAGAAAAGAGAATTGAGAATAATTGTAGTAGTACTTTTATTGATAATTGTAAAATGTTACAATGTAATCCTTTTATGAATGAATACATGGCTTTCTACGGAAGATTCTTATTTCTCAACTAATGAACTAACTTCCTAACTAACGCTAACTGACACTAATTGTCAGTTGGCTTGACCTCAACTAACTGCTAACTGATTTTGCTGAGCTGGAGCTTTTGAACTTGAGCTGGTTGCGATCTTGCTGCATTTTTATATATCATTGAGTCTCAAATTTATAACTGTGGTCCCCTAACTAAATTTTTTATATTTTTTGTCTTAAGAATTTACATAGTTGATTTCAGGTTGTTGTTTGGGCATGAGGCGTGGTTTTATTGCTGTTATCCTAATCTGTTCACTTGAAAATTTAATTTCCATTTGTTTGGGGGTATATTTGGAGAATATTATTAGCCAAAGGAAAGGAGTATATAACAGAACCAAAAAGGAAAAGAAATAAATAACTACACGTGCACCAACAAGAAACACAAATTAATTTCCATCACCAAAGTCGATTTTATTTCCTTAATATTATCGTCCTTACACAATCACAAAAATTTGTGTTTCCCTTCCAAACCACAGAGAAAACATTTTACTCTAAAAATTATATGCTGCTAGTTGTATATGGCTTTTGCAGCACAAGTACAACAAACATACTGCAATCCTCAAAACACTTGACGACTTGAATGAACTCTAGACAACCTTAGACAACAAACAAGAAAAGGAGGAAAAAAAGAAGATTGGATATCCCTTTATTATCCTCCTGAAATGCCCACCATTGGTTTAAGCAAAACACCACTATGTCTAAGCCTTACTTCTCAAGGACCCAAGATTCATTTTTCCCTTTCAACCAATTCATTTCTGTATAGTTTTAGACCCAAGAAGTTTCATTTCTTGAAACCATGTTCCTCCCTCAAAGAAACCAAGAAACAGCAGCAGACCATTTCCAAGTCCCCCACCAATGCTCCCCAGAGACTGCTCAACTTGAACCTTAAAAAAGATGATGAAAATGAGAGTACTGAGAGTGAGAGTGATGGTGATAATGCAGTTAAAGGTACCATTTTGGCTGGTCTTTTGCTTGTGGGTTTAGTTGGTGGATTTGGCGCTGTTGGGTTTGTTTACAGGGACCAGATCAATGCTTTCTTGAACCAGTTTTCAGGCTTTATTGAAGGTAAACACTGATAGATTTCAGTTCCGTTTCTTTTCTTGCCTTTTCAAATGATGCTGGAAATTTGTTAACTGCTGCTAGGAATGGTAATTAAAGTTGTTAACTTTCTAAAATAGGTGCTTGAAAAATCTGTTTCCAATTTTTTTCTTTTTGTTGACTGCATTGCATACTAGGTAAATTAAATACCTTCAAGATGTTGGTCATTAATAAAATTCTGGAGAAATGAAACTGATTGAATTTTGAAGTTTGCACAAAATTACTCCACCTTATTTAAGTGAAAGTGGTCCAGGGTTTTAACTCATCTGAGTGAAGGTACATCATTTTTATGTGATAGCTTTTATCAAGCTGTTTGTTTGAACTAAGTGCTGATTGGTACTAGCTCTAAATGGAGGCCCTATGCAAATTCCTGCAAGATAAAGTCTTGCTTTCATTATAAGCACTTTTGGCATGCTTATAAGAAGTAAATATTCCTAACGATGAGGAATAGTTGTATAAGCATTATGAATGATATAAATGAATAATGATTGAATTTATCTATGCTTTTAATGTATATCCCTTTATCAGAACTAATGGTTTCACTCTTTCACTGGAATGAAAAGCTGTGTTTTTGGGAATGGGTGCAATCTAAACTTCTGGCCTGATAGTGTAAATCGAAGCGCTCAACCATGATTTAATACAACCGTCTTAGGACTAGGGCAATATGTTTTCATGGTTGTGTTTTCATGGCTTTCTGCTCTTCTCCTTGGATAAGTCTAAATATAGCACCAACCGCCTTAGGACTAGGGCGATATGTTGACCATGATTATAGTTTCTGCCTTCGAACTCACCACTGTCTTCATCCCTTGGATAGAGTGGGTCAATTTGGCAACCTTCCCATATTTCCTCTACCCTTCTTCCAAAGTTTGTAAATTTTGTGAAAAAGCCATTCAGCTAAGTTTTACTGCTTGCTGACTTCAAGGTTTTTTTTAATAGGTATTCCTGTTTGATATAACTTATCAGTTTTTGTTGCATTTCCAGCACTGAAAATTTGTTTCTTTGACGGTCTTTGTTGAACAAATCCATGGACTTCAGGACCCTAATGAACAACTAATGCTATGAATATTAAACAGTTTTATCACATGGATTTATTTGTACATTGGGTTTGACCGAGGCTCCTTATGTGGCAGGTTATGGTCCAGCTGGATATGCTATTTTTGTAGCAGTTTATGCTGGATTAGAAGTAAGAATTCAATTCTTTTTCCTCATTTTATATATTGTTGCATGAAACTGGTACAAAGTATTTGTTAATGATACACGGTGTTTCTGTGGCAATGCTTGTCAGTTTTAGATGGGTAAAATGGTGTATGGTTCTTTCGCTTCATATCGGCATATGCTTGCTCTAAGTTATGTGCTTTAGAAGATATTCATATGGAGCTTATTCTATGAACTTTTCTTTCTTTTCTACTTTTTAAGAGGAATATAATGGACTTGGATAAACGAGCAAGAGTCCATATTTTTATGTTATGGAATCGGCATTAACCTATTTTACAATTAGCTTTTTTAGCCAGTGTTTTTGTTCTTATTCCAGATAGATTTGCTGTACCTAGCATTCTTTAGGTTTTAAGTATCATTTTCTCTGAGTTTCTGAAACTAAACTGGTTTGAACTTTTAACTTATGCTTGTAGATCCTTGCAATACCGGCAATTCCATTGACCATGTCTGCTGGTCTTCTATTTGGCTCTGTCACTGGAACAATCATTGTGTCCATTAGTGGAACGGTAAGCTGTTGATTTACTTTCAATAGAGTGGTTATGATGTACAATAAGTACTCAGAGGTGTGAGTTTTCTTCAGGTCGCTGCAAGCATTGCATTCTTAATTGCGAGATATTTTGCTCGTGAACGAATTCTTAAGCTGGTAGAAGGAAACAAGAAATTTCTTGCTATAGACAAAGCAATTGGAGAAAACGGTTTCAAAGTTGTTACTCTTCTCCGTCTGAGCCCTTTGCTTCCATTTTCTCTGGGGAATTATCTATATGGACTTACTTCGGTCAAGTTTGTACCATATGTATTAGGAAGGTCAGTTTCATTTTCTACGTTTTACTTCTTTATTCACCATTTGCTATTATCTGGATTCCTGAAACTGTTATGCTTTTGATTGAGTTTGACGATGAAGTCCAATTTCTAGAATTTACTGGAAGTCTGATTTTGTTTGTTTTTATTCCCCCACAAGCTTGCCTATGTATTTTTGGATTCATCTGAAAATGCAACTCAACTGGCATACGCATAGAGAAGAGAATATCTCATGCTAAATCCATGACTGCTACATCAATTGCTTGCTATGCTGTTTGGCCTGTCAATCACTTAGGTTTTATTTGCTGGTTGGTGAAAGGTAATCAAGTCAAGTTTCAAAATTCTATAAGATATGTGCTGTTGCAGTGATTAGGTTTGCGCACACACTACCCTCCCAGACCCCACTTGTGGGATTACACTGTGTTTGTTGTTGTTGCATGTGCTGTTGCGGTGATACAATACACTGCGATTAAAAAGATCTATTGTTGATGCTTGCGGTCTGTTACTTTCATTTGTAAATTGATGATTATATTCGTTTTTGATGGCCTGAACGAGTTCAGAATTAACAGAATTGATTGTACAGAAATGCGTATGATTCTTTAATTCCTCATCTGTTAGGTCAGTGCGTGTAGAAAGAATTGTGCTAGAAGAACACTTTTGGCTGAAGTCTAATTTGGGATTATCTGCATCATCTTTTGGGCCTAAACATTAAGGCATCATTTTGAGAAAACAATTTTCCCACTATCAAAATCAATAAACCAATCAACTGTGCTCCAATTACAAAGTAGTTGAAGTTTCCATCTACTCCATCCGTTCACTTTTACTTGTCCAATATTCTAAAAATAGATTTACTTTTACTTGTCACTTTTAGCATATCAAGAGAAGACAATTTCTTTTTTCCTGTTATACCCACAATATTAATTACTCATTTCAAATCATTTTCTCAAATCCGTTAAAACTATGCATCAATTAATATGGGTATCATGGTATATTATACATTTCATTTATTATTTCTTAACGGGTGTGCAAAGTCCATAGTGGACAAGTAAAAGTGAACGGAGGGAGTATAAGATTTAAAAGTATAAAGTTTCTATTTAAGCTTAGTTTTGTCACCAGTAAAACTGCTTTACGATATTATCATACCGAACACTTGGCATATTACTTGACGTACTTCATACAAAACACTAATACAAAGTCAGAAATGATTTTTTATACTCAGTTTCTTTCTATTAGTGCATACTATTGACTCTTCAAGAGCGCCCTATGTTCTACCAGGACTTTTCTCTTAACTTGTCTATTGCCCTCTTCATATTGATTCATCTTATCTTTGGTATGCAGTTGGCTAGGAATGCTTCCTGGATCATGGGCTTATGTGAGTGCGGGTGCATTTGGTCGGGCAATTATTGTGAGATTTCTTCCTCTTGCTCTGTGAACATTTTGTCTTTTCAATGTCGACCAATCACTTTAGTTCCATTATTTCAGTTCAAACCTAATATATATTGTTTCTCTCGACTGGAAATATTACTTAGAAAGTAAACTAAGGAAAAAGTCATGCTATCCTCCTATTTTAAAAAAATTTCGAGATCTATCTTACCTGTGAAAGTAGATGTCTATAGGTACCTTTAAGTCCAAAGTATTATAAACAAACTGCCATTCTGTTTTGATTGACTAATTGAGTTTAAGTCCAAAGTATTATAAACAAACTGCCATTCTGTTTTGATTGACTAATTGAGTTTAAGTCCAAAGTATTATAAACAAACTGCCATTCTGTTTTGATTGACTAATTGAGGATGCTAAGTTTGTTGCTTAACGAAACTGATGCCTATCCTCTCCTAATAATTTGTCTTTATTGGGACTCTATTTGACTCTTGATGCATTGTTGAAATTCAAAACGCATTACCTTCTTAAAAGTTAAAACCAACTTTAGAAATTTGTGAATCTGTGCATTCAGCTTAAACTATGATGAGTGTTATGGTACAAGGTTGTTGTTCAGTGACTGTGTATTTAAGTTTCTTCATGTGAATTGTATAACGGTCGAATAATCAAGAAACAAATATTTTGATAAACTCAGTGAAGTCCTCAGATCTAATGCTGAAAAAACTGAGTTTCTGCAAATTGAATAAAGACTTAGTGATGTTATTACCAAACAACCCCTCTTCCTCTGTTAATATATATAATAACTGAAAACATCACGCATCTGTTGCTAGTTTGTTCAATATGGTGGTTCTTTGGCAACTTGAGTTTCTTGTTTTTCAGCAAGAAGAAGCTGAAATCGGTCTAGGAGGAGGAAACAGTGGCCAGCTATTGACCCTCGGAATAGGTTTATTGTTTACAGCAGTAGCTGCAGCTTATGTAACACGGCTCGCCAAGGTAACTTACTGATCATTTTCTTTTACCCTTTACTATAATGAGTCCTGTATTTCTACACGATTCATAAGCATCACTTTTGTATTTCCCTACTTATGGTTGGTTGTAATTAATTTGCTTGTTCTTTAACCAAATGCAGGATGCTATGAAGGATTTGGAGTAGATATTGGAAATTACTTGTGCCTTCACCTAGTAAAGTATAATTTTGAAAGCCAAATTGTGACATGCGTGCCTCCTGTAAATTCGAATACGATAGTTGATTAAACTAGATAGGAAAAGTTCAGTTATTTGCAACTTGCTCTGATGCAAAGCTAAATTGAGCCCATTTTATTGGAAACATTATGAACATAAAGGCAAAAGAATTCTTGACCTTGCTTAAGCTTTATTTCATTGCTCAATGATGATTGTCTTAGTTCGGTTTTACTTAATATGATTTAGGTTATATGGCTAATACTTTATAGATTTTACACGATAAGTGTAACTTAACATAATATGACAAGTTACCCAATACTTATCAGTTTAATCATGTCACTGATTAATGTTTATCAGAGAGGTTTATACTAACACTATATAGAACTTAAAGTCTTGTTAGTATTATTTCAATGAATAAATGTAGCGTATACCTATGAATGTTTTAAAGGCAAAGGCTGAGCAAGTAGGGTAGAAAAGATTTTAAGTTTTTGCTATTTGTTCCTTTTATTGTAAATATTTTTCCTTTATAGTGTTACTTTATAAATCATTCTGAAAATAATGATTGGATCCTTTCTTGTGATTGTAATTGTCCTTAGAATTAAACAATTTCTTTTCCGGAAACAAAGATATAGCTAAATTTAAGACTAGATCCAAAAAAAGGAAAACGATGACGGCAACAATAATAATTATAAGTAAACTAAAATGAATGGATGAAAAAGTAGTCAGCATTGCTATATTTGTCTTGTTTTGGAGCTCCACAAAGGTTTTCCACGTCGATGCACACAAACAACAAATTCTTATTTAGAGTTTAGTATTTATTTTATCCTAAAATTTAAAATAAAAATTTTAACTTCAAGACATTTCGGGATATTTTTATCCTGCAAAACTAAACTAAAAACCTGTAATTCAAGACATACTGACTAGTTCCTAAATAACAACCCTTTTATCTATCTACAATCTTATACTATATTAAAAGCACGAATGCCTTAGCGAAATGTCGTTTGCCTTTTTTACCCTTTTAAAGTAGAGTTCACACTAGACAAAATAGTTATTTGATTATTCCCCTAACTAATATTTAAGAGTTTGAATTAAATCAGATTTATTATTTTTAAATTTTTCCCTGTTTGAATTAAGTAAGAGGTTCTTATATTTAGGACTTTAAAATGGTTAAAATTTTACCTAAAATAAATTTTACAACTAAAGTATGATTGTAATTTCAAGTTTTCTTTCTACTAGCAATATTTAATTTTGTTTGGCCAAAATAACTTTAAATTTAACTTTCACTTTCACTTTAATTGTAGTATTCTTTTCCCAGAATAGTCGCTGAATCCTTTTCTTAATTACTATGTTTTTCCAACGATATTCAATTGAATTTTTTACAATTGAACGTTTTTAGCTCAAAAAAGATTGTATAATTCTGCTAAATTTTAAGTGAACAATTATGATGTAAACAAAATAAAATAAAATAAAATAATTAAAGAAAGAGAAAGCAATTTGCTTTGTCTTTTATCCCAAACCAGTAATTAACTTATAAATGCTATGAGTAATCTATGTGAGATTGTCCATTGACTATTAATTTTATTCTTCGATCAATAATTTGCTTAGATATAAACATTATATAATTAGAAAACATAATTATGAAAATATTTAACAATAGCAAGAGAAAGAGATAAAGAAAAGTGATTTACAAAAGTCATTTACTAATGCTACGACAACATAAAGTGCAAAAGTTTGATTTCTTTTATCATTTAACAAAGAATTTTTGTAGATAAAAATATAGTTATAATTAAAATTTAAAATATTCTATGAGTTAATATTAATAATTTGAATCCTCAAAAAATAAATTATTTATTTTAGTGATTAAAAAAGATAATTAAGTATTCGAATTAACTTTTTTTCAGGAATTGAATTAACAAACTAGCAAAATAATCTAATTTTATTCCTTTCCAAATTTATACATAGCTAAAACAATTTTTCAAGTTTACACAAATCTTAGAGTACATAGATTAATTTTCATAAAAATACCATCAGTGACAAAAAAAAATCAGAATATAAAATAAAATCAATTATAATATTAATAATTAAATTGGTTAAAATGCAAACTTTAAGAAATTATGATAAAATAGTAGAAGACAAAATTTATTCAAAAAGAGATGTTATGTGAGACACAATTTAATATATTTGTATATCATATTATAAGATGTGTATAATTACAAAATAATATTCATCCAATTTAATTAAATTCATCATTTATGCATATTCAGAAGATATTGAATACAACAACTATGTTGGTGTGAGAAAAATTATTTTCATCATTTTAACAAATATTTCATTTTATTTTAACGTCATTGTATATATTTTTAATTGATAGACACTACACACACGTGCAACACACGTATACTAAAACTAGTATATTAAAGATAGGAAGCTCTTAAGTTAAAAGTCAAATTACGAAATTACCCTTGCCCTATTAAATTTAATTTAATAATAAAACAAAACCCTACAAATACACGCCTATTGTAGGGACAGACGCCAATTGAGAGAAAACTTGCCTCTTAACAATCATCTTCCGAAAGACCAAAGAGTTGCACCGTTTAATTTTCTATGGCAATGTCTCGCTCTTTTCTGTTAAAGCAACACCTTTGACATCTGAACTTTCCTTTACCAAATTCTCTTTTCTACTATGCTTTCTTCCTTATTTTGTCGTGCTTTTAGTTTCGTGTCAGAATTTCATTAGTTAGTTTCACTTTGTCTATGGAATCTGTGGTATTGGATTTTTTTGGTGACTTTTTTCTTCTTTCTTTATTTATCAATCTATTTATATGTTAGTTTTCATGTTCTTTTGCGCTGATTTGTTGGCTATTTTTGTACAATAAATAGAGAAGTGAACAAGTTTAGTCGTTTTATGGAGTGTTCTGGCGAAGTGAACAAGTGGTTGATGCCATAAATGATAGTCCAAATAATTTCTCAAGATTTAGAGTTTTGGTACTTCGGCGTCGTAGTTGATAAATTGATCAAAAACTGTTTGGTCATATTTTTTATAACGAATCAAGTTTTTTTTATTGTTCTGTTTTGTGAAAATGCATTCTCTCATGTATTATTCAATTTTTTCTCTACGATTCTGTGGATTTCACATGAAACAAAGATAATGGAGATGGTTTATCCAATGCGAGTATATGAGTCAGGATTGAAGATATGGACCCCTTAATCCTTACTTATCAAGAAACTCTTCGTTCATTCATGGTGTCAATTTCTGCTGTGGCTTGATGTCCAGCACTTGACAAGTCATTTTTTGAGGAAAGAAATTTAGCATACAATTATTTAGCTTTCCCATAAATGCCATTTTCAAGTAAGAACTACCCTTAACCAACATTTATGAAAAGTCATTTATTTACCAAACGAAAAAAACGGTTACAATTATGAAAGGTAAGATATTTCGTCATGGATTGTGCAGATTAAGAGATACTGAGGACTCAGTTCATTAGAAAGTCAATACTCTTTATCAATCTCGAAATCTGTTGAAGGAGCAAAGTGTCATGACCCAATTCCATTATAGGTCGTGATAACGCCTAACACCATTGTTAGGCAAGCCAACACTAATCAAACTAATGGTTTTCCGTTTAAATAATTTACTAAGCGGATAACATTTCCTCATTTGTTAAAATGATTTAGAAATTTGCAAATGTGACATAATTAAACGGAAGCAAACGAGTACAAATCGAAATCATTTAAACAAATCCAAAATCATAAGTCTACTAATGCGTGTCAAGATCTAGTGTCACAAATATATGGGCAACTTAGTAGAATATACAAAAGATATCTATCCTACTGCCTGAAAAGAATAGACAAAAACAAAATAATAGGGGAACTCCGACATGCTGCTGAATGGCTTGGAAGGCCAGCTCACCGTGGAATCTCGAACCCAGATCAAGAATGCGCGCCGAATGGATATCCAGATGCATCTGCCTCAGATCCTGCATAGTTAAGTGCAGAAGTGTAGCGTAAGTATATAAAATAACATGTACCCAGTAAGTATCCCGCCTAACCTCGAAGAAGTAGTGACGAGGGGTCGACTTGACACTTACTAAGGCTAATGATAATAAATTTAAATCATAACCGAGCATAGCTTACAATAAATATACTAAAACTCAACATTAAGTGATGACAAATATCCTTTTTCACAATTATTAATCCCAAATTTATCTTCCATTTAAACATTGGAGCAATATCAGTTATGAGTATAAAATCCCAAAAAATATTCATGCGCAAATAATGCCGAGGACGTACGGCCCGAACCAATATAACGATATTTAAACTGTGCACTGCCGAGGGTCGAACGACGCAAACCATAGATGCATCTATTTAATCTGCCGAGGCGCTCGGCCCGCTCCACTAATAGAAAACACTTAAAGAAATACAAGTTTTTCAATAGCAGTCAAGTGTTCTATCCATACCCTCAATTAAGTGAAACTTTCCCCTTTGGGATCCTCTTACAATTTTTGGAAATTATGATTTAAGCAATTCAATTGACAAGTAAAGGCGCAATTATTTCAAGTATAGCATGATGGGGGTCCTAGACTACCCGGACTGTAGCATAAATAGTAGCTACGCACGGACTCTCGTCACTTCATACGTACGTATCCCCCTACAAATAGTCACATATATTAGTTAATTCGCCTATGGAGAAATTTCCCTCTTATAAGGTTAGAAAGGAGACTTACCTCATCTCAAAGCCCACTTCCCGATTCTAAAACGTGCTCAAACCTGCAAATTTGGTACCCAAACGACTCGAAACTAGTCAAACATTATATAAATTAATGAATTTATGCTCAAAAGTTCATACCCCCGCTATTAAAGCAATTACCCAACCCTAAAAGCAAGATTCCTAAAATTCACCCCGGGCCCACGTGCCCCGATTCCGAAAATCTTCAAAGCAAGTTGTTACCCATAACCTTAGGAACATAAATATAAGATTCTCACTAAGTTCCATAATTATTTTCGTGGTAAAATCTCATTTTAATCAAAACCTAGGTTTTTCACCTAACCCATTATTTCTACAAATTTTTATGTTAAGATCTATCCATAATCTATGTATTAAACTGACATTAAGTAGAAATTTCTTACCTCACAAAAGCTAGGTCGAAATCCCCTCCTTCAAAGCTCTCAAATCACCCAAGAGTGAGAGAAAATGTA